ATATATATGTATATATTTGGGTAGCCTTCTGGATAGCACATATTCACTACGACGCTGTGTTGTGTAGAATCGTTGCTATGAACTTCGCCACGCAGATTAGAGTATGATTGCATCGATAAACAATACACACGCGCGAGTTCAAGCTTTAATAGACAGACCCAAACGAAACCAAGTATAGAGGTCAAGTATATCCATTTTTAGAACTAGCATATCATTGTAATCCACACAATAGAGATGCACTCACATGTATTATATGAACATCTGAATATTATATCCACATATCCACATATCAATCTGGGAGTGGATATATATTTTGTATTCCTAATTTGCACTCGCGACGGGCAATCGCGCATGGCAATGGCACAATAACACACCAAAGACAAAATAAATACACAAACAACTTCACGCGGCCATTTTTTTTGAAGGTATAGTATAGCACAAATCTCAAGCCAAAACGCACTACGGTAAACTAAGGCACCTCAAAATCGTTCAGTGAATGGTCATAATAACTGATGTCGACCGTTGGACTGACCTTTTGTGTATACAGACCGTCCTCGAAGGTGGCGGCATTGGGCTGTAGAGGTTGGTGACGTTCGTTATTGAGATGATGGTTATTGGGACGTTCGGTATTGAGACGTTGGTTGTTGAGACGTTCGTCATTGAGACGTTCATTATTGGGCCGTTCGTTATTGAGACGTTCGTTATTGAGACGGTGGATACGGTTAAACGTTGCGATAAGAACGGTAGGAAAGATGTGCATCTGGCGACTATGGAGTATATGTCACACAGTTTATAGCAATGGCCTTACGCCCAGGCGATGGGTGGGATCAGATACAAGCAGCAAGCTGTATTTATAATTGCACATTAGACGGCCCGCGTTAGACGATATCACACCGCAAATTGATGACATACAGAAAAACTTCTGAAATGGGAGTCCGTCGCACCTTGACACTCTAACATTGAAGCTACGAACCGGCAAACCTAATCAGATATCTATGTGAGGCGCAGTAATTTCGTAAACGTCCGGAGTGCGAGTGTGACGGTTTTGTTAGGGCCAGTCACGGCCCTTTCCGCGGGTTAAATGAGCGAAACCAGTCGTATAGTATCAGGGCCATGTACATCATGCTGCAACACACAACACAACACAGCCCCTTACCAGTTCTTGAAGGTTCTTTTCAAACGAAATGAGCGAAATCAGTCGTATAGTAGTATCAAGGCTTATCATGTACATCATTCTGCAACACACAACACAACACAGCCCCTTACCAGTTCTTGAAGGTTCTTTTCAAACGAAATGAGCGAAACCAGTCTTATAGTAATATAGTATCAGGACTGATCATGTACATCATGCTGCAACACACAACACAACACAGCCCCTTACCAGTTCTTGAAGGTTCTTTTCAAACGAAATGAGCGAAATCAGTCGTATAGTAGTATCAAGGCTTATCATGTACATCATGCTGCAACACACAACACAACACAGCCCCTTACCAGTTCTTGAAGGTTCTTTTCAAACGCACGCCTTAAATGCCTGATCATCGAATCCGTGCCTTTGACGAACAAGCTCACAGACTTGTCTCGCTCTTGATGTAAGAGCTCCTCCTAAGTGTGGCATAAATGGGTTTTTGTTTTGTTTGCGGAATAGTGAGAGAGATATATATATTCTCAGAACCATACTATACCACACGCAGGGAATGGCGGTAGCGTAGTAGTACAGCGACACACACAGTGGATGGACTTTGCTGCGAGTGTCAGCGCAGGTCCATCTCGCTCATGGTGTGACATTTTTCCTTGCAGAAGTGTATGCTCACAACTGTATTTAATAATGCCCACAATTGTACACTCTTGCATAACGAAAGCCTCGGCGGAGCGTAGTTGAAAATCAGATGGACATAATCTTTCCATTTGCACAACACGAGGGCCGTATATGTATCACACAGAAGTAGATGCAACCCCACAACCGCATAGACACTTTTGTCAGGCTCCATGTATATAACATCGGCCGAATATCACACAGAAGTAGATGCGATCCCACAACCGCATAGACACTGTTGTCAGGCTCTATGTATATAATATCGGCTGTGGAACAAACATTGAGATGTCAGACCTCACAATATCAGTGACTCTGAAATCAAAATCACTCAGGCATACATGTGATTATACACAATCAGAACTAAAGCACGACAGGACAAGGTAGGCATAGACGTGTCTGATCTCATACAAGCTGCACGTGCGTATATAAGTTCAAGTTTTGATGCGCATATAGTTTCAAGTATTAATACGTATATAACTTGAAGTTTTAAAACGATACCTTTTTCATTCCCTTCTGGTATCCCCAGAGTTCTTGTCCCCTGAGCAGGAGCCGCCCCTTTGATCCCACTATAGTGATGTCTTGCACAAACTTACCAGGCATGTGTGTGTTCAGCAGAATCGTAGCATGTGCATCGTTAGGGAATCTGCAGAATTCGGTTTACAATTACAATCGTATGAAACACAAAACGCGTTTCGTACATAGCGTGCGCCAGCACAGAACAACTCCATACGTGTGCCCATGTGAAAACTGTAGAAGTGATTGTAATTTCGAGAAACGCTTCGGCCGGCAACGGGGACAAAAGAGTGCATCTATAATCCGTAACGGAGAGTACCAAGTTTCCATCGAGCTGTCATCTGGACTCTGTCTGTCTGCGCCGTGTGCACACTATGAACTATCAGAGCAGGTGCATCGTGAATGCTCCCATCCATACTACCATTTGTTCGTACCTACCGATAGTTCTGAAACAAGCGTCAAGTAAAACGTACCCAATGGGGCCACGCCACCGAGCATGCCAACAACGCCGAGACCTATTCACAGGTTTATGCACTGCGTGCAACCACGTTTATCACAATGGAAGCTCCAATACCTACCTATCACATGCGCGAATAACTAGCGTACAATACACAATACGTACAGATATACAGATATTATACAGACACGCATCCTAAGAATATTCACATACCAGCACCTTACATACATCACTCACGCAGACACTACATAATCAACGAGAGCATACACAGGACACCTACTTGAGCTGGAAATTACAATAATCGTCCGCTGTGATATGCCTGTACCCGTTGATACGTGAGGTGTGGTGCACAAAGGTCTTCAGCACACCCTGCACGGCCACGGCTTTTAATCCCGTGATATAGTATAACACATCGATCATATGTGATCCCAATGCGCCCAGCGCTCCTCCACCCAGAGACTGGTCACACCACCAGTTGTATTCGCCTGTTGAGTATTGGTGAGATTGCATACGGTCACGACAGCTCTATGCATGGCGATGAGGTTAAATTGGTGTGTATGTTACTCGTATCTGTATACGACTGTGCAAGTCTCACAAAGGCAGTATTAGCACCAACAGTTCTATTCCTATTGCGATGGCTGGTTTTTGTAGATCGAAGTGAACAAAAGCTTTACGTACAGAACCAAAAACATACGAAGGTGACATTTAAAGACCAATGTCCGTGTGCATATTTAACTGCAATACTGGGTTGATAGATATACCAATCGAATGCTAGGCACGCTTTTGACCTTTATTCTGCATCAGTGTGATAGCATAACCGGTTGAACATATATAAATATATAGCACATGACAGTGTAAGAACCTTTACATACCTAGTTATGTACTTATGTCCATATTTTTTTGTGGTAGACGTCAATATACAATTTACGCCATCTCTATTACGTGCTTTTTGACAAAGATGCATGTGTATAACAAAATAGTTCATATCAACTTGCGTGTATAGTCTTTTTTAAGTATAGAGGAGTTTCGTATACGTCAGGAACGATACACTAAGGGCGAGTTCATGTATCTGAGTATTCGTGTACAAATAAGACACGAAGGTAGCTATATTTTGATACACAAATTATATCAGAATTGTTTGAAATTATGCACATTACTACATACATTACTACACGCGGACTTCGGCATGGGCTTGGGACTCTGGGCAAACATACCTCCTACTAGCGAGGCCATGCAGACGTTCGCCTCTATCGTCAGTATCCTACCTACATATTCTTCTTCCATTTTGGCCTTCATAGCCGCTATTACTTTGACAAATCTCAATTCGTGATCTACTATGGATACCTGCAGTGACAGCATGGATTGGAATAGAGGCACTTGGGCAAAACAAACGAACACATCAAGGCACACCGTCAACTGTACAAGACTCTACTATACGACGGCGAAAACAACAACTCTCCGCATGGAATACAAGGATGGTATGAATACTACTTTATAAGGCACTCAGGAAAAAGTGGTAATAGGTTTCAAGTTCAGGTCTGATGCAGGGTTACGATTGAAAGAAAATCATCGCAAACAAGAAAAGGGTCTGTCACAGTGGGGATAGGAAAGCCAAGCTACAATAGCGCTCGTCGAGTCTTGTTGTTGAGTTGACGTAGAGACAATTCAGAAGCAGGATGCAAACGTGCAGCAAATCACACGTGCAGCAAATCACACGTGCAGCAAAGCACATGACAGGCACTAGCCGGTTGCTTAGTTGGAATATTGTACATATACAATCATAGTGGAGTCACCATTCGCTCAGGAAACACAAATCTGGCCGAACAAATCGGGTCGAATTGGGCTCTCAGTGAAATGGAGGTCGCTGGTGAGCATCAATCACGGACTAGACTAGCAGCTGCTAACAACTACGTGAATACTGAATGTGCAGGAGGAGTGGACGTACGGGTGGAGGGGTGCATGTGATTTCATACCGCATAATTATTTGCGAGAAAAAAAATTGCCCAGAAGGCCGTAAGTTGAGTCCACGACAAGAATAGGAATATAAGCACTTCAAAACAATGTCAGGTATCTGTTTGCAGCCTCAATAGATGTATGCTTGATATCAAGAGGTGTACATACCAACTGAGGGTAGTACTGTGCAGCTGACAACATCCTCCTCGCACTGGCCGCGCTGGTGGCCATAGGCTTCTCACAAATGACATGCTTCCCCGTTTGTATAGTCTTTATGCACACTTCCAGACTCATGAAGGGTGGCGTGGCTACACATACAAGCTCGACATTCTTCAACATCAAAACTTCGTCCAGGTCAGTGGACACAAAGGGAATGTTGTGCTCCTGTCGTACGCGCTCGGCTGCCACTTCTGTTCGCGCCCACACGGCTACAACTTCGAAGCCATTTTTGTGGAAATGGGGCAGCTGATGGTTTGCGCGATGGAATCAGAAATTAGCTCAAATCAAATTGGATTTGGTTCTCCGAATTGCATTGGATGCGCGGATTTAGTTGATAGGCATGCTATCATACCTGATACAACAGAAATACGCAGGCCGGCCATGTTATTCTAAGAATAAATCATGATGCTAAGATTGCGGAATGCCATTCGACTAAATGAGCTATACTATAAAACAACAAGTACTGTGCAAAAGACTATACATAAAGCTCCTGTGTTGGTTTCCGTGCAAGCATCTACCTCTAGACTGGCAAATTAAAAACTGAAACTCTTTGTGAAATCCAAATTTTTCAACATACGCTGTGTACGCATACATATGCATGTCATATATAAGAGTAAACCAAGTATAAAAATACATATCAAGTACTAAATGATCTCACATCTTCATGGACATATTTTCAAGAAGAATCTATATACATATATATATATATATATATGACAATACACAGTAATAGACAGTTGTATATACATGAATATAAATCAACATTCAAGC